TACAGTGTTAAAGCAAGTCTCTTATCATAATAATAAAGTGAACCTTAAATACATGTTTCATGAATTCATGAATACATATTTTGCTGCCCTCCCACAGGGCGATGGCCCTCACACAAGGGGTTGGTCTCCCATACAAGGGCTATGACCCCCCAACAGGGGGTTCAACCCCTACACAAGGGGTTCAGCCTCCCAACAGAGGATTCAGCCCCCACACATGGGCTACATCCCCCCAACAGAGGGTTCAGCCCCCCAACAGGGAGTCTGTCCCCCAAACAAAGGGTTTGGCCCCCCAAAAGAGGATTCAGCCCCCAAAATGGGGTTCAGACCCCCAAAAGGGGTTCAGCACTCTCACAAGGGGTACAGCCCCCCAACAGGGGTTTCATACCCCACACAAAGGGTACAGCCCCCCCAATGGGGGCCAAATGGTCCCTGCAGAGGCTATCACCCCCCCTGCAAGGCCCACATGCCCCACCCCAGTCCCCTGATTGCTGCCCCACTTGCCCCATCCTCTGCCAGCTGCTGCAGTCCACTGGCTTCCCCAACCAGCCTCACCCCCCAACTTGCACCCCCAGGCCCCCAAGGCTACCCCCACAACCCCAGGCACCATCACTTAAAAAAAAAAACCCAGAAAAAGAACAGGAAAAAAATGAGAAAAAGCACCTCTGCTTACCTTACAAGCAGGGATGGGGGGGCTTCAGGGCCTCCTGGCAGAGCCCCCTGGGCAGCACAGGACAGCGGGGGGGCAGGAGGGGGCAGGCTGGGACTGTCAGCCTGCCCCACATTGTGCGGGTGGGGCCCCATCTGCCTGTAAGTGCCAGGGTTTGTTTGTTTTTTTAAGTATGGGGTCAGGAGGCAGGGATGGGGGGGCGGCGGGGGAGGGGCCAGCCCTGGCAGGGGTCGCTTGGCTGGCACATGTTTCAGCACCAGGGCAAGGGGCCAACCATAGAGATGCTCTGGCAGCCCGAGTGTCTCTATGGAGGACCCAGCCTCCAGTTGCCTCAGTTGCCTGCCCCGCTTCTTTATACTTTGCTTTTTTTAGACCCTGGGTTCTAATTTTCTCCCTGTGCTGCAAGTTTGCAGCAAGGGAACATTTTTTTGTTCCTGCATGTGCCTGTTGCCCCGCCTCAAAGGGGTTTGAGGCGGGGCAAGATGCACATGCACGCTCGTGTGGACGTGCTCAAGATCTTTAATGGCCACAGCCACTAGCACACACTCATCAAATGGTACATCACTCCGCACTTCTCCTTAGCACAAGTTTTGAGGTCCTAATTCAGCAGTAAGAGTGAAGAATGCTCTCCTTCAAATCAAAATTAAAGGAAAAAAATTAAAATCAACATAGAGAAAAACAAAACAAATTCAGAGCACGGTCCTAATTCATAGCTTGAAAACACTTACGCCAGTTGACAAACTGACTTGTTATCCTGAAAGCATAGATTATGCAATTTCAATTAAAATAATGACTTAGGACTCAACCCTGTACATCTTCAGTAAAACTCAATACTGAAGTAAAAGGAACTTTGGCTGAAAAAAAGTACAGAACTTAGCTCCTGATAGCTAATATACAGCAATCTCTACTTCACTATAGTAAAGTAGCTGAAATACTTATGTACAGTGGCATAAGAACCATGACAGACTGATCGCTTTCTTGGAATCTTTCTGGGCTTGCGAATTAGAGACAAAATGTTAGGGCTTAGACGCATATATCTGATTTCCTTGAGAGCAGGAGTAAGCCCATAATATAACTTTAATTAGGTTTTAGTGCTCCCCAGAGATTTGAATTATGCTGAACAAACATTCAAGTCTTCTAGTTTTTTCCTATTAGGCCTGTTTTTCTTTGCAAGGCTGAAAGCATCAGTTTCAAAGCCCAGAGGTAAGCTCCTAAACTCCATACACAATATATAGAAAAAGCTAGGTGCCTCAGAAGTACAAGCCCAAAAATGTCCCACTAATTCAGGGGTTGCCAAGAATTGACCAATAGGAAATCCACAGTGTATGTCTAAACTCTCACAATTTTCTGGTGCTTAGATTCCTGCAAACAACTCTCTCCATCCCTTTGAGCTTTAGAGCCTGAAGCACGTTCCTGAGGGTAGGTGCCTACAAGTGTGTGTGTCTGTATGTGTGTGTGTGCGCGCGCGCGTTTAAAGAATGGAGCAGGGCTTACTCTTTTTACAACATGGCAGTGGAGGAGTTGGTAGTGCTACCTCCCTTTTATGTAATAGTCTAGTAAGTAGAGTATTTGTCTAGGAAGTGAGATATTTTCCTCTCAGCTTGAGGGGATTCAAACCAACATCTTCCACCTCTTAGGACAGTGCCCTAACTGCCAGGTTATAGGCTATACTAATGAGAAGTCTGATTCTGTATCTTAGTGGTTAGACACTGGGAGTGGGGTTCTTGGATTCCAGTCCTTGATCTCTGGGCACTTGCTATGTTTTACAGTAAATAGCCATTGGATAAAAAAACCCAACAGATAGGATCCTGGCAGCAGGGAATGAAATTCAGAATTGACCCTTCCAGATAAGTGGCCTAGGTATTAGGCTACTGAGTCATATTCCTACTTGCTAACTCTCCTGGCCCCTGAATCTTGCATTCTTTACTGCACAGTGATAATTTTATTGGGAGGGTGGAGTATACCTCCATTCAGTCTAGCCTACAGCCCTCCCTAGAGCAATATCCAGCAAGGGGGAAGTCATAGGTTTGAAAACCATCATGTTGAGAACAGAATTCAGCCCCATTTCCTGGACAAATTCTTTTATCTCTACACTTGTATAAAAAACATAGGTGGCAGTACTAATACTAATTCTTCCTCCATAAATAGCTGTTTTTTAAAAAGAAAGCAGTTATGACTGTATTTTATGAGGGGCCTAATCTTGTTGGCATGTATGAGATATGGGACAGGGAGGTCTGGAAGAGGATGATCCCCTCTCCTCCATCAATGCTGACCTAATGAAGGAACACCTTGAGAGGTTGGATACCTTCAAGTCAGCTGGCCCTGACAATCTACACCCCAGGGTACTCAAGGAGCTGGCGAGCATCACAGCCCAGCCCCTGGCATGGATCTTTGAGAACTCCTGGCACTCTGGTGTAGAGCCTGAAGACTGGAAGAAGGCCAATGTGGTGCCTATCTTCAAGAAAGGGAGGAAAGTGGATCTGGCAAACTACAGGCCCATCAGCCTGACCTCTATCCTGGGGAAGGTCTTAGAAAAGTTTATTAAAGAGGCCATCCTTAATGGACTGGCTGACACCAACATCCTGAGGGATAGCCAGCACAGGTTTGTTGCGGGTAGATCTTGCTTGACCAATCTAATTTCCTTTTACGACCAGGTGACCTATCACCTGGACAAGGGAGAAGAGATTGATGTCATACATCTTGACTTAAAAAAGCCTTCAATCTGGTATCCCAGGATCACCTCTTGGTGAAACTGGCCAACTGTGGCCTTGGGTCCACCATGATCCGCTGGCTGGGAAATTGGTTCTGTGGTTGGACCCAGAGGGTGGAATAGATGGAAGTCAATCGTCGTAGTGCCCTGTGACCAGTGGGGTCCCCCAAGGCTCTGTCCTTGGACCTATATTGTTCAACATCTTCATTAATGATGTGGACACTGGAGTCAGAAGCAGACTGGCCAAGTTCACCTATGACACCAAACTCTGGGGCAAAGCATCCACACCTGAAGACAGAAGGGCGATCCAGGCTGACCTGGACAGGCTCAGCAAATGGGCGGACGAGAACCTGATGGTGTTTAACACTGAAAAATGCAAGGTTTTCCACCTTGGGAGGAAAAACCTGCAGCATCCTTATAGGCCAGTGGTATGCTGGCTAGCACTACGGAAGAAAGAGACTTGGGGGTCATCATTGACCACAAGATGAACATGAGCCTTCAATGCAATGATACAACTAGTAAAGCGAGCAAAACACTGGCTTGCATCCATAGATGCTTCTCAAGCAAATCCCAGGATGTCATTCTCCCCTTGTATTTGGCCTTTGTGAGGCCGCAGCTGGAGTACTGCATCCAGTTTTGGGCCTCACAATTCAAAAAGGATGTGGAGAAGCTTGAGAGAGTCCAGAGAAGAGTCACGCGCATGATCAGAGGTCAGGAAAACAGAACTTATGATGACAGGCTGAGAGCCATGGGGCTCTTTAGCCTGGAAAAGTGCAGACTTAGGGGTGATCTGATGGCCACCTATAAGTTTATCAGGGGTGACCACCAGTATCTGGGGGAACATCTGTTCACCAAAGCGCCCCAAGGGATGACGAGGTCAAATGGTTATAAATTACTGCAAGACCGTTTCAGGCTGGACGTAAGGAAGAGCTTCTTTACTGTCCGAGCCCCCAAGGTCTGGAATAGCCTGCCGCTGGAGGTAGTTTAAGCACCTACATTGAACACCTTCAAGAGTAAATTAGATGCTTATCTTGCTGGGATCCTATGACCTCAGCTGATGGCACCACCCCGCTCCTTCTCTCTCCGCTCCATGGATTGGGCCATTTAGTAGGGGTGTGCAAAGTGGGCCCTATTCGATTTGGATTTGGTCCAAATCTGGGACAGTGATTCGATTCATTGATTCAGATCACTGTCTCTGATTCTATTTGGCAGAATCCGAATCTGAAGATTCAATGCTGATTCAGAGAATCAGCGATTCGGCCATAGACAAAGCTTAAAATTTTTTTTTACACAATTTGAAGTACCAGTGTGGCTCATGAACACTGCAACGCTAGGGCGGATGGAGCATCCCACACGAGTGGGGGCGTGGCCCATGAGCTCGGCAGCGAACCCGGAATTGGACCAGAAGCACTTCCAGTTCACTTCCAGGTCCACCAGAAGTGCATGGGGGTCCCCCCTGTGGCCCCCTTGGCTCAGTGATCAGCCGCGGGGGGACCCTGGGTGCCCCCCCAGATCCAGGAGGCACCAGTTGCCAAGCTGGCGGGGCATGGGGGAGGGGCCCCCGCGTGCTCCCCGGCAGACCCAGAAATGGACCGGAAGTGCTTTTGGTCCACTTCGGGGTCTACTGCTGAGCACAAAGCCCCCGCGCTCCTGTGGGACACTCCATGCGCCCCAGCACTGCAGCATTCACGAACTGTCTGCTACCTAGAGGTATGTAGAAAAAACGTTTAAAGCTGTGTCTATGTCCAAATCATCGAACGTTTCTAAATCCCTCCAAATCAATTCAGAAGGTTCCGATTCAATTCGGAGTGATTAAAGGGTCCTCTGATTTGATTCAGGTTTGGAGATTCAGCCAACAAATCGGGCCAAATCTCTGCCAAATCAAATCAGGGACCAAAGCTTCGCACAACCCTACCATTTAGGGGGATTGGGTGCTGCTAGTCGATCAGGTAAGGAAAGAAGCAAAACTTTCCAGCCAAAAAGGAAAATACTTACTGAGTTTAAATATCTCCAAGATTAGGCAGCTACGAAGAGCAGGGGTTCTTTTGGATTGCATTTTGGACATAGGCATCTAAGGCATCTAAAGTCTTCTATGTCCTCTTCTAGGTGTCTAAGTCCTTCTTGGATCTGGATCAGGAAGTTATTTTTTCCAGGTAAAAGAACCAACAGAGCTGGTGAAATAAAAAGTAATTTTCAGAGTATGATCACATTTTTGTTTTGAACATGTTTTTGAGAGATATGTGAAGGTCACTGAGGTATAAAAAGAGGGTGGCAGCATGAATTGAATTCAAAATAACTCTGTATGTCTTGATTTTCTAAAAAGTAGCAGAGAGTTAGAGCTGCTGAAATGGCAAGTGAATGAGAGAGAGACTGAACCTTAAAATGGGATCTTTTATATTTTTCCACAGCACATAATAGAAGGAGAAAAGAAGTGAAAGCAAGACTTGAGAACACAGACACGTGATTAATTTCAACACAAAGCTACTTCAATACTAAACAAAAAATGGTGTCTGGTAGAAAAAGAGTGTGTTCTGTTCTTTGACAATTATTCCT